ACGTCGAAACGTTAGCCGAAAATAAATATATTTATCAACCTCGTGCAAGCTTATCAAGAAAGAATACATATTGATCAGTCTGTGTTTTACCGTGTACTTTTTATGCAACTGACACATTCAGGCGCATTCCGTTTATTTCTTTTCTTCTAAAGAGCATAACTGCAGATTATTCCCAGATTATATCTGTGTCGAATATCGAGATCTGCACCGTACGCACCATCATGTTTTCACTATCCAGGAGTTGAAATAACCAAATTCAGTACGTTAGTGAAGCGATTTCCATGATAAAGAAGTTGTTAAATCGACAAAAAGTGAAGAATAAGGAATCCCTATGATGACGTAAGCACTATCCAGGAAAATGTGTAGATATTGCATGTTGTTCACGCAAATTAGTTCCACTCAAAGGTATTCCAGATGAAAAATTTGTGAATGTGATCACCTTTTACTTGCTGCCTATCCTTTTTACTTGGCTAGAAAACAGGTGTAGGCTAGAAAACACGGCTGATAGAAAGGCGAAACGAAGGACCCGCTTGTTGTGGTGATGAACGCGTTAGCCTTCGGAAAGGATAATAGCGCGTTCGCTCCTCACCACAGACACCTGCGGTCCGGAGTTTTGCAAGTATCTCAGTATCATTGCAGTTATATTTGTGAGTGTAGCAGTACTTTGTTCACTAATATCAAATGACAGGGTAAAACGAATGTAGGCTATACTTCTGCCTAGGCCACTCCAAGGTAAACAATCTTAATGTTTAGAAAGGAGAGTACGTATAGTTGATTAATCAAATGACTAGTAGTCCAACTATACATTCATAAAGCTGCAGATTTTCGTGTTTTTTGTTTTATGATTGTAGTGGTGTGGTTCATTTTAATCTTTCCGTAAGTGGTGGTTGGTTTCCTGAATTTTAAAATTAAAACATTTGCGTGCTTGCTATTATTATAAGATTTAAAAATGTGCTCACTCAATTTTAGAATGGCTGTAACCCACGTCATTTTTGATTTCGACGGTCTTCTTGTGGACACTGAAGCCTGCTATACCAAAGCGAACGAAGCAATATTGGAGAAATATGGACGCAAGTTCACACAGGAACTGAACTCAAGTTTGTTTTTAGCGCATACTTTAGATGATTACCTTGCTATGAAAGTAGGGCTGTGGATCTCCATCATCCGAGGTACGTTGAACCGGTTAGTGGAAAGGATGCTTGTTTGCATAGTCACATTCTTAATTTGTGCTTAGTTACGCTTCTGTCTCTACGGATTATATTCTTGAAGTTCATTCGGTAAGGAACTTTCAAGCAAGTATTTGGTGAATTCGAGTTCGCCTCTGAAAAATAAACCTTAAATCTACTCCAGATTCCTTGTGCCTCTATACCAGAGACCAATTCAGCTAGTTCTGCATAACCAAGAATATTAGAAATAAAGAGCGTTGTATCAAAAATATGATGCATTTTATCTCCCGAGGCTCGGAGCAGCAGATCCGAGCAACTCTACCACATAACAGGAATGGGGCGAGTGGAAACTTCGTTGATGTACATTCTAGTGGCTAGATTATCAATGTGATTACAGGAAACATATTAGAGAGCGCATTTTCATGTGTGTGAAATTGTTAAGCGATAGCTGTGTGAGTGACAGGGTTATGTATCGTGAGGGAAATCCAAATTATTTAGGAAATAGAAACTTGACGTTTTTACCAGTACATTACTTGCTTGGATACTTGGATGGCCCGTTCTCACTGATTGTGTAGGCCCCAGCATAATCTCCATTTTTCGGAGTTTTGACGCCTTAGCCATTGTGGTGTCTTGGAGTCTCGAGGTCAGCCTGGCCAAAACCTGTCCTAGGTCGTCACCACCACGGGCAGTCGCAGCCCTTGTGGATCAGAGGGAGATTTGCCACCATGCCACTTTGGTTCCAGGACGGTGGTGGATCCTGGTATTGGTTTACTCTTAGCTAGGCTTCTTGATGGAAACGCCGAACTCTTTCCCAGCTTGGGAGACCCTGTTGGGGGTACGAATCCCCCTCGTGTACATCGCAGCCCGACACCGAGGAATACCTGCCAGCCACGATGAGGCGGTAAACCGTTGGAAGGTACCAGCACATTTCTCCTTAAAAATACATCTTTATTAGTGATTGGCGAGATACTGGAAAAGGTAGTAGTCTGTTAGTGGAAGATTCAGTAATGGCGTTCAGAAGGTGAGGTAGAATTCGTATCTCGTTCCCTTCAGCCGTTGCAGAGTTAGTTGTTCGGTATGTGGTCGTTCTTGTTCGACAATAATCGCTGCTTTCAAATCGTTTTTAAATTAAACAAGAGTAGGCTTAAAAAACTAGTAATTGCTTTTGTCACCCACTAAAAAATCGTTTTGCTCTTCGTTTTCTGTAAGTTCTACTGTTCCATTGTGAACCGACTTTCATTGAACCTCATGAATGACGAATGTACCTTATTGATAAGCTAATACGAAGTTAGTTATCAAACATTTATTCGGCTAACGTTTCGAAGGCTTCATCTTTAGCAGAGCGGTTGATCCGAGTTGATATCCACAGTCCTTTGTTCTCGATGGGATGTCTTCGTCATCCTCCATGAATTGCATGGATTCTCCATTTCAATTGATGTGGTTAAAGTTATGGGTACTATACAGAGTTCACTTTTTATTGTGCATCACAAGTTTTTAGAGGGACTTAGACGTGGATTATTGTTATTCAGTAAAACAAGAACAGAACCAACTCCAGAGCAACGATCTACTAGGTTTTCGTTGTATTAAAGCGGCACCCGTTTGTCAAGTTAATTTGTCTTTTTCTAGTTTGGTCAAGATTTTTCAAAATTGCTGCTCTGTGGCTATGCGTCCAGTATACTTCAAATGGACATCGTTGGTGGCAGCTGTTCATCCCTCGTCTTCGTAACGAGGTTCAACATTATGAACTTTCGGGAACTGTCGACAAGTCGACCAATAAACAGTAATAATTGCATTATTCGGCCGGGTATTGCTGAAGGGGCTCACCTATGGCTGCATCTCAACTTCCGTAGCAGGATCGTTTCGTGTATGTTCAAATTCATGGCCAGACTAATAATATTGCTGATAATATTTAACGTTTTGTTTTCTGCCTTCTATAATTTTCATGGCAGGTTACTAAGCGAAATACAACCTTAAAAAAAAGAAAGCGAAACATAGAAATAGCTGAGAGACGTGCGAAACAAAGGACCCGCATGGTGTGGTGGTGAACGCATTACTCCCCGGAAAGGATAATAGCGCGTTCGTTCCCCACCATAGACACCTGCGGTCCAGAGTTTTGCAAATATCTCAGCAACGTTGTGGTTGTATTGCTGATAATATTTTGTGGTTGTATTTCGCTTAGTAACCTGCCATGAAAATTATAGAAGGCAGAAAACAAAAACGTTAAACATTGCTGATAATATTTCTTTTCTGGTTACTATTTAATGTACTCAACTAATGTAGCAGACTATTCATCCACGACAAAGGAACCAAAGGCGATGGTGAAATTAACAAAGCCCGGTCGAAGTGTCGACAAGTCGACCAAATAAACATTATATAATAGAAAATAATGTTCTCTACTGCAACTTTATTCTTTATGTGTTCTGATGGTGCTGAGTGCCCTAAATTGATATTCCACCCTAGCCAGCGGGCACGCCAACAAATACGGACACTATAGACGTGGATTATTGTTATTATACTACTGATACACTACCGGGCACAATACCAGGCACGATGCATTGCTTAGGGGGAAGACCTTGCGACCCGTTGTTGCCTTTCCATGATTCGCGTGTGCAGAATTGTTGCGACGATTCGCTGTTATATGAATACCAAGTAGTTAAGAACACCCGGTCGGATTAGCTGCTCGCCTTTGCTCGTGCCACGCGGGGTTTTTCGTGATTGGCAGTCACAATGCTTAACACCTCAAGCTTGGGTAATTAGACCCTTTATATATACATATTACTTACCGCAACGCAGATAAATTTCGAAATATATGTACAATAAATAGCTGAGAGACAGGCGGAACAAAGGACCGGCATGGTGTGGTGGTGAAAGCGTTACTCCCCGGAAAGGTCAATAGCGCGTTCGTTCCCCACCATAGACACCTGCGGTTCAGAGTTTTGCAAATATCTCAGCAACGTTGTGGTTGTATTTCGCTTAGTACCCTACCGTGAAATCATAGTAGGCAGAAAATAAAAAGGTATAACATTGTATATGTACAATAAGTTACAAGTAAGGTGGTCCAGTGGGCAGTAGTAGAACGGCTAACAAGTTGTATTAACAGTGACACATAGTGTTATTCAAAAGGTTAATGAGAGCATGAGATATAGTTAGGAAATATTGCATTGCTATGACTACAACAAGGTTAGGATTTACGTGAGCACAGTGCAAAAATGTGGTAGCGATTAGAAGAGTATCAGTGAATAGTGCGAGTGCTTAGGATAATTGTTACCTCAACAACACGTATTAGATGTGAATCGCTGATAGCCTTAATTTACTGATAAAGCAAGAGCTTAAGACTTTAGTTCACGACGATTTTACACACGCGAATCGAAGGAGTTTTGAAGGAGGAATATTAAGTGCGAAAGCAAAATGAAGGGGAAGGGCAGCGGCGAGCTCCGAGGCGTCGTCAGAGGGCAAGTGGCCGTGCTAAGAGACGGTGGCTAGATCCGAGCGAGTGGTGTGGGTTGCGGGAGTCACGCCACGGGTCGCAAGGTCTCGTCCCTAAGCAATGTGTCGTGCCTGGTATTATGCCCGGTGGTGTATCTGATGGTTGTAGTTGCCGTATTTGCTGGCGTGCCCACTGGCAAGGATGGGATATGAATGTAGGGCATTCAGCACCATCAGAACACATGAAGAATAAAGTTGCAATAGGGAACATTATTTTATATTAGATAATGTTTATTTGGTTGATTTGTCGACAGGAACTAACGTTGCACGGGGCGCGTGTAGCGCTGTGGTCGGTGGTGCTCTGCAATGCAAATGTAATCGATCCACGCGTTCTAGGCCCACCAAGCTCTTCATCCCTCCGGGGTTGGTAAATTGATAGCGGACTTCTCTGGGAAAGAATCACTCTCTGCAATACAATTGGGAACGCTCCAGTCCGGCTATCTCGGAACTCCAGGGAGAATTGCTCGACCAGCATTCTATCACATACAAGATGAAATGAAAGTTCTCGAGCAGCAAGCGAAGCCACACGTAAAGTTGAAAAATCTTCATAGGCAATGGATGCGAGGAAACGAGTCGGATGTGGGAAGTCCTGGGATCCGCACAGTAGACGTGAAGACGGGTCGTACAAAATTAAAGAAAAATGTGATGTTTGATGGTTTCATGGCTAAGTGCTGTATAGTGTGAGCCGTTTCCATGGGAGTAGGTTCAGATTTGAATTGATGGAAAAGGGATTGTTTTATTTTTTTTCCTCCTTCTTTTGTTCATATTCATTAGCTTCGTTTTCAATTGGTAGAATTAGAAACATAACCGAAGAAAGTAGTACGAACTGTGCTAATTTCAGTAATTTGTACTATGGGCACAATGAGGTTGGACTAAGTGCAAAGTTCAAAACGGCAAAGCAAATTATCTCCTAATATAACTCGTATGAAATGCTGAGATATTTGCAAAACCCCGGACCGCAAGTGTATGCAGTGGGGAACGAACACGCGCTGTTGTCCTTACCGGGAAGCTGCGCACTTCACCACCACACCATCCGGGTCCTTAGTCTTGCCTGTCTCTCAGCTACTTCTATCGATCTTTTTCCATCAGCAATCACCCGTCGACGGGATTGATATGGGGAGTCCTGTGGTCCGGAGTTTTGCAAATATCTCAACATTTCATACGAGTTATATTTCGCAACATACCCTGCCATTAGGAAGAAAAAGGCAGTAAATAAATGGGTTAAGATTGTGATTATCTCCTAATAGGCTAGAACCTTGTGAAATCTGAATTAGATAGATTTGAGAAGGGAAGGGGGTGTAATACACAGTGATTATGTGGTCTAAGCTCCGAGTTTTCAGCTTTGTACTTCTAGGAGTAATGGGGCGAAGAGAAGCGGACGCGATCCCCTGGCTTTTAAAAGAGGTAAACTTTTACTCATAAGGATCATTTTGATGGTAAGGACTTTGGACGACTTTTTATAAGACTTTATTTGATTGGTAAAAATTTGTCTTCGAAGTTGTGAACGTTGTCTTTAATAGGTTAATTTGGCCGATAAAATTACACTATCAGAGTATTTGACCCAATACGACACGATTTTGGCAGAAATGTTCTTGAAATGCAAGGCAATGCCAGGTGCTGAACGACTGGTTCGTCATTTTCACAAGAAAGGTTTGGCATTTTTTTTTTGATATCGTGCATCTACATTACCCGTCTTTCAATTATTCATATTTGTACCAAAAAGAATTATTTAAGGTATTCCACAAGCAATTTGTTCGGGATCCAGGGGTTCAACATTTGGTCCAAGGCGCGAACCACATAAGGAGTGGTTAGATCTTATACCGCTTAAGGTGTGTGCATTCGAGTACGCTTAATGTACCTGTAACCTGCCATCTGAAATCCTATTAATCGGCAAGTACTCTAATGGAAACCATTAACACATTCGTTAGCGCGATTGGTTCCTAGCATCTGCAGGTGAGAAAGAACCTAATTTCTATGCAATTCTGGACTGCGTTGAAATCAATGTTCATCGTCGCGAATGTGTTAACGTTCTCATTAATTCCTATCACGATCTGTAGCTATCCAGTGGCCTTTACTCGTTTCAGTGACGAAAAGAACATTTCATGCCTCACATGAAGCCCTTTTTCTATTGTTTTATCGAGAACATTCCCATTGATGGCTCACAGGGACCAGATTTGGAGAATGTACTCACGGTTAACTTGTTATATTAATATAGACGGCGCCTATTTATCAGATTTGAAAGCTCCAAGAACTTCACAGCTCCATTTTGCTCAAATCCATGTGTAGGATTCGAATAGCAAGTGCTTTACTGTTTCCAAATCACGTTTGATTTCTTAACCACCACACAAGCGAGTGCGCCGCTGAACTTCTGTATCAATAAACTCGAGATGGCTATTATGTGAGAGGTCCATGAAATAAGTAGTTATCTCTTTACCCAAAACGTGTTATTATTATTCCTCACGTCCGTTATAAGCTAAATATCGCGCCCTTCATCGTGCTTTTTTCATTGCGGCTTCTATTTGTATAAAGGCGAGTACAGTAACATTTTATGATCGACACACGTCACGACCGTCTTCACTTCTCTTCATTAAGCAAAAGAAAAAAAATTTAGCTCGAGTTGTTGATGGATAGTGATTTAAGAACTCTGTGTTGAGGTGTTCTGTGGAGACGAACCTGACATCAAGAGGGGAAAGCCGTATCCGGACCCATATTTGGCCGCTATGAACAAGCGAGTTGTTAACTACGTATATTTGTGGAAAATCTGATTGAGATTCGACTTCATCCAGCTGCGTCGTTATGCCGATTATTTTAAATAAAAATTGAAATTCATCATACATTTCAGATTTCCTGCGATGCCTAGCGATCCTTCAAAAGTGCTTGTGTTCGAGGATTCGCCGAATGGAGGGCGATCGGCGAAAGCTGCCGGCATGAAATGTGTCATGGTACCGAACGAAAAATTTCGCAAAGAAGCACTCGAAATCGGGTCAGCATTTTCACGTAGATCACCTTTAAAGATTTAAACCATTCGAAGCTTTTTTTCAATTTGTTAAGGAATTCCCCGAAACATAGTATAATATATTATAGTGTAACCCAAGTGCTCGACAGTCTCCTTGAGTTTCGCCCTGAAGAATATGGACTTCCTCCTTTTGATTAATATGATTAATAGTTAGTTTTAATATGGTTTAGGTGGTACCTATGTTAAGTGAATAATGAGGATTATTTCCGATTATTATCACTATAGGTAATAAACCATCCGTTTTTTGAAATCTTTCCATTTGCTGTATTAAAAAAACTGAACTCTGCTTGTGAAATAGTTTTCAGCTTTAGACCTGATGCGAAGACTATGTTCTGTTTACAAATCTTTATTTGCTATCTGTGGGTTAGTCACTTTTTCAATTGCACACAGTAATATTAGCGCGAACGTGAGTACTAGTGTAGGTACACATTGGTTTCGACGCATATCTTCAATTTTTTTTATCTTAATATTATCTTTTCTTACTTTTGTGATCCTGGAATATGCTGGACGAGTGTATTTCTTTGAAAAATAAAACAGGATTTTGTAGTTACAGCTATTTAGGATTGGGGCTTTTTAATACATGATACATCAGTCCGCTTCTTGATGATGTTGAATAGTCGTCTTCACCTGAACTGACAGATGTCGTGGTATCGTTGTCACTGTGGTCATCGTTATCGCTTGAGTCCGAACTTGGTACTATAATATTGTTTTCTCTTGTTTTTTCTTGTTATTTAATGGTCTTATCGACTTTATTTTTCTTCCCTAAAACCAGGCAATTCAACCAATGTTTAATTATACTCACTTTTCACCGGTATTGGTTCTGTCTTCAACTCGGCTACAATTTGACGATAAACCTGGTCCTCACAAAATTGTTCGTGGAATTCTATCTCGATATCAGGTAAAAAATGTCGTGAATTAATGCGACACCTGAAGATTATCTTAACTCCTAATTCTGTAAGGTCCAGTATTTCTAATGAGATAAAGTTGTTTTTGATATGTAGAGAACACTATGCCAAATTTTTCGCCACTCCCTATGCGTACTGAAAAATTCGTCCGACAAAAGGTTTGTGCAAAGTGTGATGTGTAAAGGATTGCTTCTTACATCAGGCACAATATCTACGTTCAATAAGCCACCGAATGAATACAGAGAAGCAGCAAAAGGACTCTTTGTAGCAAAAGAAAGCTATGGAAGGATATATATTGAAGGCAATCCATACAGTCCACTGTGCTCATCTACATATGCTTTAATATCAATGCATCTGGTCGTTAATGTTTAAAGGGTCGAAATAAAACTGGCTGCAACAATACGCCTTCAGACAGGAATTTGAATACGTTTGGATTATGTCACTTCAAGTCGCTTGTGTGTATGCTCTCGCAGATACACTATATTACCAAAGGTTCCTTAAAATTCTTTGCGAAAACTACCTACAAATTTCTACTACTGAAATCACCCATAAATTTCAACAACCTGACTAGCTTCAAGTTCTGTGCGTTCTGTCGGCAGTAGCGCAGTCGACATGCTCGTAGATGATCGGCGAATAGATTCGGCTCGATTCGATGATTGAGGTTGTATGGGCAAATCACGAGACGGGTAGCATGCGAAGTCGACGACTCGCTCATGACGTTTCATCAACGTCAATCTCGTTCTTGTTCTATGTCATGGAATCATTCCTCGTTTGTTCAAACACGAAAAGGATCGGGGAAGACTCGCCTTTCCGAATTATGGTTATATAACATGGCTAATCAGCTTATCTGCGGACTTGTGAAAGTGTTTTAGATAAGAAAAAAACAACCTTTTTTTCATTTGTGCTTTCTTAAACGTGTAGCAATCCACGAATTCGTGTTTTCTTAATCGGCTGATTGACTAATCGCAGGAATCGTGCCGTTTTGGAACAGTCTTAGTCGAAAGGTGGCAAACTTCCCTCTGATCTAACCAACTTTCGATTGCCTGTGATGAAGACGTCGAAGCACTCATGGCTATCTCGGGAATCCAAGGAGAACTCTGCTCATCTAGCATTCAACAAATCAATGGGAGAAGAAGAAAGATTCAAACATGTGACGAACTCTTAAACTGATCCAATGTTCTTGGATCACCGTCGCAAGACAATGAGTCTAGCGAAAACTGCTATGGCACGAAATCTGAGAACAGCCAATCAAAGTATCTGGAACATGGCACATGATGACGTTTAGAACACCCACGCCAGATTTTTTTTTTGTTCAATCATAGTTTGCCAACGGATAAATACCGCGTACCTCTCAAAGGTTTAACGCCTCATCGTAGCTGGGAAGTGTTCCTGGGTGTTCCGGCTGTGATGTACAGAGGAGAAATTCATCCTCCTAGCACTGTCTCCCAAGCTGAGAAGGAGTCCGGCGTTTCCATCACGAAGCCTAGCTAAGAGTAAACCAATTCCAGGATCCACCACCGTCCTAGTATCAAAGTCGCACGGTGGCAAACCTCCCTCTGATCAACAAGGGTGCGACTGCCTGTGGTGGTGAAGACCTGGGGCAGACTTTGGCCAGGCTGATCTCGGGATTCCAGGAAACCACAATGGTTTAACAAGAAAATTTCCGAAAAATGGAGATTATGCTGGGCTCGCACAACCATTGAGGACGGGCCATTCAAATGTCAAGTATCAAGTAAGTAATACCGCGTTAGACACTTGGGACGACAGTCTATTAAGAGGTGTTAGTAGCACTTTTGTCATACTTCAAATGAAGCAGTGATTGCGAAATCTCCCAGATGGTGACGGCTTCAGATATCTAGTTAAAAGTAGGCAGCAATACTGAAATAGTATTTCAAGAATGTGTTGTAATATTGTAGAAGTTTATTGTTATTAGTAACACTGGTGTGGTTATTTAATCTAACGTAGGTAAAACTGTAGATTTATGTCATTATTGCTCTTCATGTGTTCGCACTATACATCGAGAGTGTGGTTCAGTCGATATAGCAGTTCTTCTGATATTGACCCAGTGGACGAGCAGTAAGAACTGGAAGATACATCACTGTCCGTGGAGCACGACTCGTTGCTCTTTGATGGTTCGACTGGAAAGAATCTTTAAAAATTGCTTGCCAGATTTCAAAATGGCTAATAGTGCAAAAATCTATGTCAGTCCTACGAATATCAATTTAAGTGGGCCTACACACATGATTTCGATTCTGCGCCTCAGGCTCACCAAGCCTTCCATCCCTTCAGCGTCGGCAAATTGGTACCAAGCATTTCTGAGAGGATAGCAGCACGGATTCGACACATCGGTTGGCACCGCGACTCATTATAGGCTGTATATTCACTTAATCACCTCTAACGATAAAGTCGGTGCTTAATGAAGTCGAATGCATGGGGCACTCCTCAAAGGTTGGTCAACGTCAAGAGCTTTATTCTTTACCTATCAGCTGAGCGACTGGCGATTTTTTAAAATAATTTTCTGGTCTGGAGCTAAATGTTTATGGTAGAAGGGTACTGCAATAGCGTATTTACTGAGTATTTAGTTATCTAGCTAGAAATAGTCCTGTTTTCAAGAACACGAACTGCATAAGGGTAATAGGTGAACGGCGGCAGACAGAAATAACTTACGGGACCAAAAGCTTACTTAGTTCATCGTTGATCCTTCGAAAGTACACGTCATTGCAATGCTTCTCATGAAAAGCGAGTTCCACATCAGGAACAAGATGACGCGGATCAACACGGCATCTGAAATCTAGGAGCAAATAAAAGCCTTCGAGAACTGTAAATCATTAAATCATAGTGACCTCCTCCTCAGGTCATCCAGAAACTGGTAAACGATTTCGTTCTCTACTAACAAAAGTGGTTTTGGAGAAGTCACATGGTTCTTGAAGGTTTTTTCTTGTTCTGTCCCTCTCTATCAACACTGTTTTCATTGAAATATGAATGTGTCGTTTTCTTGTTCAGTAATCGAGAGGTTTTTAAACAGCATACATTTACTTCCATAGAGAAACACAGTACAATACAACACTAGCTGACGTTTCGGCAGCATCACCCCAACCTGGGATGGTGCAGTCATGAACCACATGCGATGTCAAGTTGATAGCAATCTACTCGGCCAGACGCCTCCATAACCAAACAGAGAAACTCTAAACCAAGATTTCAATCACATTTAACACAGCTTTGCACACTCACCGCTTTCTATGAGGTTTCCACTAAGTATGTCACG